AACAAAATTGAAAAAAGTGAAGGGGGTCTGAATACTTTCCAAATGCACTGTATATTTCTTTTCATCTGTATAAAACAATTATCTTTGTTAAGCCCTACACTTAAGCCAGAATTCTTCATAAAATGTCAAATTCCATATTTCAGGAGTATAATTCATCATTGCCATTGATGTCTTTTACATGTATATTTTCTTAAGACTGGACATGAACAAATCATGTGAGTCAAAGAATCTCCATATTTACAACACAAGTACAAGAAATCTGAAATCAATGACAACTTGGAAGTGACATTATTCAGATATTATGCTAAGTGGTGATGTCAGTTTTTTGATTTTGGTTTAGCACATTATATGAACATAACCATTGTGGTTTATAAACTATGATTAGTATTTTATCAAGTTGTATGAATCTAGCCAATTGTGTATTTAATAAACCTGGTAAACAGACCATGGTTCCAGTCTGAACCTGGAATATGCAGTTTCATACTTAATCATATTCATTTTATTTAGTACTATAATCTGCCTATCTGGAAAACTATGTATAATCTTTGAGCTTCTTCGAAAAGGAGTGGAGCATAATATATATAATAAATAAATGTGTTAGGTAACAACAATTCTTATATACAGTTTACATACATACACACATGCAAATCTGGGTAGGAAGATCAGTAAAGGTTTATGAAAGAATTTTGTCTAAGTAAGAATTTTGCATTTTAATAGTTCTTGTATATTCTCCCCTACCCAAAATCTCTCCCAGAATCTGTTGCCCTCGTTACGGTGAAAGGAGGCAGACAGAAAGTGATTGGGGAAAGCGCTGTGTGGATAAATTTGACATTATTGGTATTATTGGTGAGGGAACATATGGGCAAGTGTATAAAGCCAAGGACAAGGATACAGGTGAGTATAAAACATGGACTATTTTTAACCTTTTTCTGTTATATGATTATTATAAAATGCAGTAGATTGGCTAGCACAGGTTTCACACATGATTTGGTGATGGAATGGCTTTCTCATAAGAAACTTGGGTCACCTTTGATATCTTAACAATATAAAAAGAGAGCTTGAATATCACAGCAGTTCCTTATTGTTTGTCTATAGTAGCTCTATTTAGAATTGTGTTTCCTTTGTATATGGAGATTCCATTGCAATATCATAGATTGTACCCATTGATAGAGCTCTTAACTAATTCAGTGGCCATCCTTGCTATCTATTGCACCCAACTCAACATGAACTAGGCATGGGTAGTATGCATTGTATACACTATTAGTCTTTGTCCTGAACCTATTGCCCATCAGTTTATTTTATAGTCTTGTATGATGAAATACTTGCCTTTCCCCAAAAGATAGATTTTTGCCACTTCATCAATAGTGCAAAATTAGACTAAAGAATGTTGGTATAGAAGATCACTCCATGAATAGAAGGCTAAGCAGGGGGGAGGGGGATCACGACATTATCAACTGTGAAATAGTGGCTTTCAAAGCCCATATAGCACTAGGAAATCATTCGCAAATGAATGCAGCTATATGTTATCCTAGATTGTATCTAGCAAAACCTATAATACATATGAATATCCATGTTTCCATGCTTTCAGATCTATAACTAATCCAGATAGCATTACTTGTCTTCCAAGAGTGTAGAGTTGTTCAGGTTATTTTGGACTTTTAGGAAGTCTCCCATTTAAATACATTTATTTGTACATATGTGTTACCCTTGACTTTCCCATTACATTCTTTTCACTGCGTTTCCTCTCCTTTCTGCTCATCTGTCTAAATTGAGATTATAAGATTGTTTTTGATTATTTTTATTATAAAATAAAAAGTATAACCGATGGCTTCTTTATATAAAGAAAGGAACAAATGACCTGTCTATAATAGTTTGTAAGAATAAACTGAAGATAAATTGGTTGCCCTCTAGGTTTCAGTGATAAGGGTTGCAAAGTACAGGTAGTCCCCGGGTTAAGAATGCCCGGGTTACAGACGACCCATAGTTAAGAATGGAGCCTAATGTAGCAAAATTCAAGTTAAATACACAGTGATTTGAGTTAAATACACAATGGTTTGAGTTTATTGCACAATACTACTTATGCAGTATTATACAATAATACTGTTCTGGCTTACATACAAATTCAACTTAAGGACAGGGCTTGGAACGGAAATTGTTCTTAAACTGGGGGCTACCTGTATCTGTTATTGGACCAATTTCAAGTATGGAAATGAAGAAGAGTTCTGAAATATGAAAGCTTTTATACTCCTGATACACCCAGTGCTGATGTGATCAAAAGTCTTCATTGTACTGACAGTGTCCCCTCAGGTAATTGACAGAGAGGGACACGTTCAAGAAGACCATATTTTTCATTTCTCTTCTTTCTTTTGCCCAATTTTACTTTGATTGTTATTTGCTGTGATCTGTATTTGGTAGGTGAATTGGTGGCTTTGAAAAAAGTAAGGCTGGACAATGAAAAGGAAGGCTTCCCTATTACAGCTATCCGTGAAATCAAGATCCTCCGACAGTTGATTCACCGGAGTGTTGTCAACATGAAGGAAATTGTTACAGACAAACAAGATGCACTGGATTTCAAGAAGGACAAAGGTACTCATTGTCAAAGAAGATCGTTTAGAGATAAATTGTGAGATTATGGCCTGCATTTCAAATCAGCTGGTTTACTTAGCAGTAACAAACATGCTTTGTACATGAAAAACTTAATGTACTCTGTGCAGATATATTTTAATTTTGTCTGGAGCACCAGAATGGCAAAAACTTACCTTATAACAAACATCTGGGTTAGAAGTTTTCTATTCATCTTGAGGATCTTTTGTGAAATTTTGAGAGGAGTTCTGTGCTGTGTAGGATGATCAGGTTAACCGTAATAATAGATAGGGGGAGGAATGTTGCTATTCTTAGGAAGGGAGACTTAGATTTGCAGACACAACTGTCTTGATGATGAATACTAAGGGAGATAGAGAAAAGAGTATTAAACAATAATCCTGAATCCTCCTTTTTTCCCAGAGCAAAATTTATGGCACTTATATTTTCCTACTTATGACATAATCTACCTTAGGAAATTCATAGGACATGTGTTGTGATAAATGTTCATACTTTTATTCTTAATAAAAGTGGTGGTGTTTTCTCTTTTTCATCTTCTGTTAGGTGCCTTTTACCTTGTATTTGAATATATGGACCATGATCTCATGGGATTGCTAGAATCTGGGTTGGTGCATTTCTCAGAGGACCATATCAAATCGTTCATGAAGCAGTTGATGGAGGGACTGGACTACTGTCACAAAAAAAACTTTCTTCATCGAGATATTAAATGTTCCAATATCTTATTAAACAACAGGTAACTGTGTGAATTTATTTTATATTGGATCAATTAGATGACTGTGTGGCAATTAAAGATGGATTTCTGTGTGTTCTGTCCAGTATATTTAAGAAATGTCTTCTTTGCATTCTTCCCCTTCCTGAGATCTGAGGAAGATGCTTTGCTCTGGATTCTTTTGACTGCTCAAGTAAAAATTTGAAAGCAGAAAGTAAAACTTTTTCTTATTAACATACCAGTATCATGAAACACATTTATAATGGAGATCTACTTGACTGCTTCATTGGCATCATTCCAGCAAGTAAAATGGCCTTTATGTAATACCTCTTATTTATTCATGTGGGTTACATCTCTCTTTGCATTTGAGTAGCTGGCTGCCATTTCTATTAAATGATTAGCTGCTAGTTTTCTATCAGGGTGTTTCAAGCATAAACCTTTCTTATTGAAGTGACTAATTGCACAAGATCCAATCCAGTTCATATATGTAGCCTCGTATATACATTTTCATAGCAAATGGGGATTTATCATGAATGTTTGTATTATTTAATATATTTTAATCTGACCTCAGCCAGAGAGCTTCTCAGAACATATTGGATTCCCAACATCATGTTTACAAACTAAAATACATGGCAGGAAAGGCAAATTAGAGGGAACAGAAAGAAGCTAAATAGTAAATAGCTAAATAGTAGTTCTTATTATGGAAATGGAGGGCAAGCCAAGTGCAGGTGGCCTCAGCAGAGCTATTGGATGGTCTGGACCCCAGCCCTCTGCTGATAGGTTGCTTGCCTGATGACTGCCCGATATTTTAAAAATTCTGAGGCTGCTTCTCAATTGCCTTCCTTCATCTGTAATTCTGTTCCTGGTGCATATTTTCCCTGCTATTACACAGGAAGGAGAAAGGAGTAAAGGAACTGGTGCATGACTTGAAATAGTATTTGCATGCATTCTTCCTGCCCCTGCCCCTGACTTCCTGCCCCTGACTTCTATAAAAGATAGACTCTTTAGTTGGCAAATAGAGTTATATCTATATATTTGTAGGATACTTTTGTGGAGACCTCTTCCGTAGGAGATCTCTCTGTTTTGAAAGTGTGAGTTACAAGAGTGAGTGCCTGTTGCCAGTTCAGTAATTTTTATTCATGTATAGTTGCCCTTTTGTGTAAACCTTTATTTGTAAATGTCCACTATTTTCTTTTTGCAGTGGGCAGATCAAGCTGGCAGACTTTGGTCTTGCCCGACTTTACAGTTCAGAAGAAAGGTAAGATGTTTAAGAGGAGTGTGGGTGTGACTTTAGATATTTTACACATAATACACCAGAATGGGCTTCTGTACAAACCCTGTTGAATTCACTTGCAAACAAGCATATAGGAGTTCTCTTTGTTGTCTCTCTTTTTGAGTCGGTGGTGTTCATGAGGTAATTTGGTAATCTTCTTGGTTGTATCTTGGACTTATAACTAAGCTTATAGTTTATAATCCATCTCAGTCTTGAAGTTGATTGAAACCATTAGGCAAATTATTCTGAGCCTTAGTTCCCTGACAATAAAAGCAGTGATTTTCCTAAGTTTGTTTAAAACCAAAAACAGAGAGAAAGCATTAACCTACCTTTCTCTGCCAGTGAAGGTATCCTCTTTGATCTCCTGACACATGGGGGTTTTCTGTAGAGAGGAGTGTTTGTATGAGGTCAGAGGCAGTTTTATTATGTCTTGTTGTCTCTGAACTGTGATACACAGATGCACAGAAACATTGTGTTCTGCGACTGCATCTTGACCACTTCTCATTCTGAATGCTCTGATTGGGCTTGAGGATGACTTTAGATAAAACTGGTAGTGGCTTAAAAGTGCTGCTTAAAGGATCAATAAGTAATTACTCTGTTGATTGCACCATCCAATTCTTCTATATTTACTTTGATTCTTACAGAAGCATTGAACCTAAAATGTTGTTTTATATAATTGTTTTTTCACTTAGCCGTCCATATACCAATAAAGTCATTACATTATGGTATCGACCACCTGAGTTGCTGCTAGGTGAGGAGCGTTACACACCAGCTATAGATGTCTGGAGCTGTGGGTAAGCCAGTGACTCTTTCACATTTTGGTTTCTGATGTTAGCTTGTGGCTACTACCTGTAGTGGCTCATACCTCAGCCTTTAAGCATAGTGTGGCTGAAATGGCATATACTTTTGATCCAGCTTAAATAACTGTGATAAATACCAATTTTTATTGTTTCTTTGGGACTGTAGCCACAAGCATATGCAAGAACCCATTTCTGAAATATTTATATTTAAGATATTCTGTTATTCTATTATTCTTTTTTATAGATGTGAACTGAAATATTACTACTGTTCATGGCAATAATTTTCTTCAGAAATGATGAATACTTAACTATTCCACCACACAATGGGAAAATGCTGCTCTGTAAATGCAGAGAGCATTATGAACTCCTTTGCATGCACCTTTCATTGGCAATTTGTTGGATATCTAATAAGACCCCTAGGCAGCCAAGAGAAGCTTGCTGCCCCCCCCCCCCCAAATACTCCAGTTTCTGCTATTGATGTTTCAGCTTGTTCCGTTTTCTTCCTAGCTGCATCCTTGGGGAACTGTTTACAAAGAAACCTATTTTTCAAGCTAATCTTGAGTTGTCCCAGCTTGAATTAATCAGGTAAAGCATTCTGTGTGTGGTGGAAAGAAGATTGGGCACAGAAAGTGATTTGTGTATTCTGCCTTGGCAGTGCGAGCAGTTGTGGTATTTCCTGGAATTGCCAGCAATTCTATTAGGTCCAGGTCCGATCTATGAACAATACATACCAGCTGATTGTTCATGTTAGAAATGTACATAGATCTCTTCTTATTAAGAGAAAAATGTCTTTCTTTGAACTTATGCAACCATATTTTATCTTCTAAGTCCCTGTCCTCAGCCTGGCAATCCACTCTTCAGCAGACAGGAACCCAGAATTTTGTATGTGCAGCTTATTCCTATCTATAGTAAGGATCTGTGGATGGTGCTATTGAAGGACTAGAAGCTGGTATCTTAGACTTCCTTTAAATATCATACAATGTGGGGAAAGAGGCAGGAGCAGAAAAGAATGGTTATGCAGTTTATGCCATAGATTAGCTGGTCACATAACATCTACTGTTCCTGGGAAGAAAGTGTTTCCAGTTTCACCAGCTGCAAAATCTTCCCTGGAACATCATTCTCTCCTCAAGTAACTTAATTCTTTCCTGGGGATCTTTCTAAAATCTGAAACCCATCGCCTTGCCCCATTTTTATTATTCATCTCCAAGTGTCTTCTTTAGCTAATCTTAATCACCTCTGTGCTTGTCGAAATCTTCAGTTTGTGTGTGGAAAGTTCCATCCTGTTGTGTATCAATGGGGAAATATTTCTGTGTGCTCTGAATACCACAGAAAAATACTTCCTTCAAATACTTAAGATCACAGAATTTATATGTCTTCTGCATTTAGAGATCCCTAATGGAAAGTTCACCCCTGCTGCCCAAATTATATTTCATTTTCCCTGATGCCCTTTCTACTTCAGTTTTAGTCCATGCCAATAGTTATGAAACCTTTGGGATATTTTAAAATAAAATTTGAGTTTAACTAGACAGAACTGAAGAGCATTTATGTGTACTCTTTGTGTATTTCCTCTTTAATATTTAGTAGCTAGATTTATCTCTTACCTTTACTGTGAAAAACATCCTGGTTAAAAGTCAAATCAATCATGATAGTTCTTCAAATAAGATAGTCCTGGGCAATTCTATATAGTTAACCTTGTGCCTAATCTTCATAAACTATCTCTTGTTTCTGTTCATGCTTTAGTCTATTATTATTATTATTATTATTATTATTATTATTATTATTATTATTGATAATGATAATGATAATGATAATGATATTTTATCTGCCTTTTAAAATATATTTTGGTCAACTCAAGATGATGAGCATACCTAATATTCCTGCCTCCTGTTTTCTCCACAACAACAACCATGTGAGATGGGTTAGGCTGAGAGAGAATGACTAGCCCAAAGTCACCCAGTTGGCTTTCATGCCTAAGGGAGGCCTAGAACTTAGTCTCCTGGTTTCTAGGCCAGCACCTTAACCTTGACACCAAACTTTCTTATAAAGTTACCCATCTTCTCTCCACATTGCAGGATATCAAGCAGTCAGGGAAGGGTGATGCATATATGTTGGTACATGTGATTACTGTACTATTTGGCATTATAGTTGGGTGGGTAATTTGAAAATAACCAAAGAATTGATTGACTTTAATTCAAGTATTATGCTTATTGAGAGATTCAAAACTGCTTACATTTCCTTGCAGCCGCCTTTGTGGGAGCCCCTGTCCAGCTGTATGGCCAGATGTCATCAAACTCCCCTACTTCAACACCATGAAACCGAAGAAGCAATATCGTAGGCGTCTGCGGGAGGAGTTTTCCTTGTAAGTTTGTGTAGTGTTCTTTGGGTGAGAGCATAGCATAGTGTGCAGTAGGTCCTCATGTTTAATATAACACTACAAAGCACAATGTCCAGTTTTTTATTTCCATATGCTGCCTTTGTGAATATGACATAATGTGGTAGTGTGGAGGCTATCCACTTGTCTTTCTAAAAAGGATCCTCCCTTTCAGGAAGCAGGTTAAGATAGATTTCTGGGGACCAACATTTGAGGAAGGGAAGGAGAGAAGGGTGAAATTGTTTGCAGCTATGTTTTATGTATACTTATTGCAACTGTAGATAACTTTATTTGGCCCAGTGTTGTTAATTGTTCTGGACTATGAACTTCAATACCTGTGAACTTCTAGGGTCTGTAAAACATTAATGGGCATAATGCCAGAGGATTTTAGTGGCTTCTGCATGGGGGTTAGGAGAGGAAATGGAGACTTTTACTTGCTGCAGTCCTTAGCTGCTTTTAATAGTGTCCAATAAGGATCTTGAATGTAGGGCTTAATATTAAAGGGATTGCTTCCTGCAAGCATAAGGAAAGAAATATAGATTTTCCCTTTTTTTCATACTTGAGAACCCCTCCCACCCGAAGCATCAACTCTTTAGCGATACTTGGTTGGGAAAATATAGAGAGGGTGGGCCTAAAAAGTGCTACAAGGCTCTCATTTCAGGGATTGGGGATACACTCCTAATACTTTGTTATTCGTATTGACTTTTTTGATGAGTAACTGGTGCTGGTATTACTGTTTGTTCATCTCAGTTGTGTCTTGAGTTGAAAGCACATGAGTATGACTAAATACAGGTTTTGCTGCCAAATTCCCAAACCGTATTCTCTTTTGTCAGCACATAGACCACATATGTGATCTCATTTGACATTTCATTTAATTTCATTTCATTTATTTATTTAATTTTTCGACCACCCATCTCCCCCCAATGGA